CGAATACAACAAGTCTTGCTTTCAATCGTTCTATGCTCCCATCTGAGTGATATTTTATTTTGTATACCCATTTGTTTCCAAGTGCTTTCTTCCTGGGCGGCAGTTTCTCCATAACCTATGTCTTATTGTCTTCCAAGGCTTGTATCTCATTGCACATTGCATCACGCCAACCAGAATCCTTTACGGCTTCTTTAAAATTCTTAGGTTCTTTTCCTGTCGTCACAGCTGCAACAAAATTTCTATGTCTAATAGAAAATCTTTCACAAGATACAAAGTAAGTAATAGGGTAAGGATTACCTGAGGCATGTTCTTGGGTAGATGAACTTTTCGAGGACTTTACTTTTCGTATTGTATTAGTGACAAAATCCTTGAGTCTTATATTCAGAACTTTGTTTCTCATCCCCCTTCCCATCTCATGTGTCACGATGGCCTCCCTCTCAACTGCCACCTCATTCTCTTCAGATCCCGCATCATCCTCTTGCATCACCACAACATCAGCCTCATCAACTTCGTGTGTGGGTCCTTCCTCGCCATTTATACCACTAACACATATTCCCTCGCCGGCTACTATAGCAGCTCCATTACCACCTTCACGCAACCCCCTGGAGCTGTGTTTGCCCATTGTCTTGCAAAACCACTGATGCACCCCTCCTCCAATTGATACATCATAAGTCTCCCAAACAATATCATTGTCAACATACTCAATGTCAAAAGTAATAGGAGGGGCAGAATGAGTTGTGTCTAGTTGCACAACAAATGGAAATTCATGTTCATAAAATTTCACATCTCTAGAGACAATGTATTCTTTGGTTTCTAAATTATACAATTTCCATCCCTTTTTCCCATAGGGGTAGCCCACAAATATGCACTTTCGACTTCTACTCACAAACTTATCCCCATTACGTCGTTGATTGTGGGCATATCATAAGCAACCAAAAATCGTCATGTTATCAAATTTAGGGACTTTACCAAATAATTTTTCATAAGGTGTCTTATAATTCAGTACCCTAGACGGTGTTCGATTAACTAAGTAACATGCTGCCAACACACATTCACCCCAAAATTGCATTGGTAAATGATCCTGAAATCTAAGTGCTCGCGCCACATTCATAATATGTTGATGTTTTCTTTCAACTCTCCCATTTTGTTGTGGAGTACCCACACACGATGTCTCAAACATAATTCCATTATTAAAAAAATAATCACGTAGACAATTAAATTCGGTGCCATTGTCACTACGCATTTTCTTTATCTTTTTATCAAATTGTCTATCAACAAATGCCACAAAATTCAAAAACATAGTCTCAATCTCAGTTTTGTTGCATAACAAATAGACCCAAACAACACGCGAATAATCATCAACAATTGTCAAGTAATATTGTGCCCCACATGACGAACGAGTTCAATAAGATCCCCATAAGTCACAATGAATTAATTCAAACAAACTTGCTGCATTATTCTCACTTAATGGAAAATCATCCCTATGCTGCTTGGCACGAGGACAAACATCACAAGGTCTATTATTCTTGCTCCTACCAAACTGACTTACATGAGGAATGAACCTTAACACATTTTCTGATGGATGACCCAAACGTTTATGCCATAAATACAATGTTGAATCCCCTTCCACCATCAAGGCATGCATCTTCGAAACACTCCGAAAAAAGTAAAGTCCATCGATCCGTTCACCCACTCCAATCAACGTCCTCGTCGTCCGGGCCTGTATTACACACAATGCATTAGTAATTTGAACGATACAATCAGAGTCATCGATCAGTTGAGTTACAAAAATTAAGTTGCAATTTAATTGAGGCACAAAAAGAACATTATTAAGCCGCAATCCACTATCCAAAATCACACTGCCCTCCTTTATAGACACAACATCTTTCCCATCCGGCAATCCCACCGGTGTATTTACAATATTTTTTACATTAATCATACAAGAGAAATTTCCTGTCACATGGTGTGAAGCTCTCGTGTCAATAATCCAAGAAATGTTATTCTTACCGTGGAGGCGATCTTTAGTTTTGGAAATATTCAAAGCGTCGAGAATTTGTTGCCATTGTGTCGGGGTAATTCCTGATATACCTGCTACCTCACTTGAGTGTGGTGGTGCATGAGACAGTCCACCATTACCACCGCTGCTACGGCTACTAGTTGTGGCTTTGTTGGCACGCACAAATGCGTTATAGGTGCCTCTGCCACGCCTTTCAGAACGGCCTGATGTGACTCTCTCACGACTCTGTCCACGACCACCATGAGGACGGTCCCCCCCACCACTCGGGGAATCCATGAAGCTGAAAACATGAGCGTTCGTCGTGTCCTTCTCTGTTGCAGTGAGGACAGAATTTTTCAGAATTGTCCACAAGTTAAGATTTACCTTGCGTATCAGCTGTGGCTTTAAAAGCTATGACATTGTCACGGTTCTGATGAATTGAAGATTCTCCTTGCAGCAACCTCTTGTCTTGAATGACTCGCTGATATGTTTGATCAACATTTGGTAATGGATCTTGAGAAAGAAAATTTGAGCAAATCGTCGCATAAACCCCATCAAGGCCCATAAGAAAATGATGCAGATAATCTTCAGCACTCAAATCAATCACTTGTTGGTTGATGTCACAAGTACAGCCTTCACATTTTCAAGTTGGCTTTTTGACATAAGTCATAAGTTCTTCCCATACACGAGATAGACGACCGAAGTAGGCCGACACCTCTTCACCTTTGCCTTGCTTGCATTCTCCTAGTGATGCCTTTAATTGGCATATACGAGTAACATTCACAACACAAAACCGTTGCTTGAGATGTGTCCACAAGGATTGTGAATTATCATAATAAGAAAGAGTAGAGCGCAATGATGGCTCGATAGTGTTCAGAAGCCTTGCAATGAGCATCGACTGCACTGCAGTCCAGTCTTCCAATTTCTCAGGTGTTGTTGGTTTTGGGACTTTCCCTTCCACAAAACCGTATTTTCGCTTCGCTTGCAACGAGGTTCGAATTTCCCTTGCCTATTCATCATAATTCGGGCCACGCAATTGTATTGGTGTGATCACGTTGCCGGGATTGTCATTGGTGCCGAGAAAAAACACCAAATCCACCTTCATCTCCTTATTACCACTGTTGTCACCAACTTTCTTCTCTTCATTATCACTGTTATTAGCCATAATCTCTTATGGTGCTTGATATGAAAGAAAAAAATGTATTTAATTTTTCCTAGGATATCCCCGGGCTCTAATACCATGTTAAACTTCACCACAAAAGTATTATGTGAATTCTATATATTCATTCTTTAGGATCACTATATATACACATTACAAGACTACCTGTTTACAATCTATTATAAAATCTACTAATCTTAAGAATTTCAATCATAAATGACTCCTAAATATAAGGTAACTGCAACAGCCATGTAATAATAACAATAACCTCCACTAGTGGAAGATAGAGTAAAATATGCAATAAATCTCAATATTTAAGGAATTCAAAGTTAAACCCGTATGATCCGGGGCTTTTGTCCCTACCGGAGTCGAAAACTACCTCCTTGATCTCCTTCTCACTAAACTTCTCCTCCAATCTGACACAATCCTCCAATGATAAACTAGCAATATTAGACAAATCCATGCTTGGTCTAGTAATACAATTAGACTGAAAATTTGGCCTCAATGGTTTTTGAAAGCTTTCTTCACCAGGATTACATCATTCACACACCCAGATTCAAGCTTAATAGAGGAAATAATGAAGTCGAGGCAATCATGGCCGGGACATCTGGCCCTATTTTGGATCACGATTTGAAGAGGAGGAAGCATGCTCAGGTCGAGTTCCGTAAAAAAACCTGCGTATCAAGGATAGTATATTGAAGCAAAAAGATAGAGTTAAATGGGTTCAAGACGGGGACCAAAATTTGAAATATTTTCATGCAATCAACAATTATTTGTGTCTTAAGTTTTTTTTTTTAATTATGAATGAACACATCGGTATAAAATCGTATTTGAGAACTAACTATAGATAAAGTGATTGATATCGGTATAAAATCATATTTGAGAACTAACTATAAATAAAGTTGATTATAAAATAATTTATATTTTGATAAATTATTGCAAAATTAAGTGCAAGAAAATATTTTAGTATAAAAGTCACTTTTAACCTTATAAATAAAAAATTTCAACTTTAAGTAAAATCAATATTGAAAAACAAAAGTAATTCTACTCTAGAGTAAACAAACATGTTATAATCGATTTTACATATTCCTAATCATCCTAAATACTCCAAATTTGAAACAAACATATACTAAATCTACTATATTATTTTAAGGTGTAGATATTAATTGTATTTAATTGTCATTTAAACATCACCCATATATTGAATTTTATACACTCTTTGAGTACTATTGAATCTAATTCTGTAGTTCTAGCTTAATTAATATAAAAGTATTATTTAAATAAATTTTATAGATTGGGCATAAAAATGAAAAGAAAAAAAAATGTATATATACTCAATTCAACCACATAACGTAACATTATTTATTCTTAGTTAGATTAAAAAATGAGACATCCTCATATCCTCTATATTAGGTGAAAAATCATGTGAAAGATAAAATGTACAAAATCCTACATTGTTATGACAGATAAATAATAGATAATGAGAGAGGCATAGTTTAACATAAATGACTCACTTTGTTATTTCTGGTTTGTCACATTTGACCAAGTCTTCATCCTTTTTTCCAAACTCAACGAGGCCATTGAAGAAATACAAACCAGAAAAAAAGACAAAAAATAAAACCATGTTGAAATGTTAAGATTCTCCGAATCTTAATATCAACGTGGTTTTAATTTTTAATCAAGAACATCCATAACAGATATTTAATAAGAGGTTGTTTGTTCTAGCATTGGATTGTAGAGCAAACATTTGCATGCTGCATGCATGCAGATTATGGATTTGGAAAGGTTAATATCTTGGAAATTTAAGGTTTCTCTATATTAAGGTTTTTGTTTAAGGTGTGGAAGATGAGTTGTTTCCCATGTTGTGCTTCAGAAGAGAGAATCAACAAGAGATCATTGAAGAAAAGTATTAAGGAATACCATGAAGCAAAAACCATAACCTCATTTGCCAATATCTCTTTTAAAACTGGTAAATTAATCTCTTTTCTTTGTTAATTTGGTTCATAGGTTTCATAAAATTTGATTTGATTCATTGTTTTCATAACCTTTTTTTTTTTTGCTTTTCGGAAAAGTTGAACACATTTTTATATTGTAGATAGTGGCAAGAGAAGGTTCATAGCAGATGAGATAGCAAAGCTTGGAAAAGGAAATGTTACCTCTAAGGTATTTTCGTATCGCGATCTATGCAATGCGACTCAGAATTTTCATCCTCTAAATATGATTGGGGAAGGAGGTTTTGGAAGAGTATACAAAGGAATGATCAAAAGCACAAATCAAGTATTACATCAACCTAATTCTCTTTTCAAATTTTGTTAATCGAGAAAAGCCTAAACCCTACATAAGTGCTTTTTTACATTACAGGTTGTTGCTGTGAAACAACTTGACAGAAATGGATTTCAAGGGAACAGAGAATTTCTTGTAGAGGTTTTGATTTTGAGTCTTTTGCATCATCAAAACCTCGTGAATTTAGTAGGTTATTGCGCCGAAGGTGACCAGAGGGTTTTGGTATATGAATATATGGAAAATGGTTCCCTAGAAGATCACTTGCTTGGTAAGTAATTGTCATATAAGTGATTCCTATAAGAACAATTTGAAGCATGTTACCATATTACCATGTCATTATGCAATAATGAGAGAAATTTTATTTCATCTGACCAACAACAAATGGTTATCAGATGTAGCTCCTGACAGAAAGCCGTTGGACTGGAAAACTAGAATGAAGATTGCAGAAGGAGCGGCAAAAGGGCTTGAATATCTACATGAGCAAGCAAATCCTCCGGTGATATACCGTGATTTCAAAGCATCAAACATTTTATTAGATGAAAGCTACAATCCAAAGCTTTCGGACTTTGGACTTGCAAAGCTAGGCCCGACTGGTGACAAGACACATGTATCCACCAGAGTGATGGGAACTTATGGCTATTGTGCTCCTGAGTATGCGTCAACGGGACAATTAACTACGAAATCGGATGTGTATAGTTTTGGAGTTGTGTTCCTGGAGATTATCACAGGAAGAAGAGTCATCGACAATTCGAGACCGTCTGAAGAACACAATTTAGTGATTTGGGTATGTTCTCAAACCTTAGACACTACTACGCGTTGAGATGAAAGTTACTATCATATAATCGATATCAAATTTTATGTTAATGTAACATTATTCACAAGGTAGTTTATGTTTCTTTTTTTGTTAGGCGCAACCTCTTCTAAGAGATAGAAATCAATTCACAAAAATGGCAGATCCATTGCTAGGAGATAACTATCCGATAAAGGGTCTATATCAAGCTCTAGCTGTAGCAGCAATGTGTCTTCAAGAGGAAGCTGATACGCGGCCGTTAATCAGCGATGTAGTTACTGCTCTTGAATTTCTAGCCAACAAGAAAGAAGAAGATGGAGAAAAACTAACAAAAGAGACTTTTGCTTCTCAAGGTGGAAATCATGAATCTAATGTTGTAAAGAATGACGATGAAGAAGAAGATGAGGATGATGATGAAGATGAAGATGAAGATGAGGATGACGACGAGGATGGTGATGACGAAGATGAAGAGGATGATGATAACGATAATGATGATGATAAGGATGATGAGAAAGTTCATAGAAGATATAGTGAATGAAATTTGTTTTGCAAATTCATAGCATATTGAAGTTTCAATCCTAATAACATGCCATTTAATTTTATGAATATGGCTTGTGTTAAGATATGAAGCATGCCAACAATCAGCTTAAATCTTTGAGCTTGATGGCTGTGTTAACATAATTGTATTCATTCTCGCATCAAGTTCTGTAATCAACCGATCATACACGAACTCAATATTCTTTTCAATGTCAAAATAGTCTTCATTTAAGAGCAAGTTTCTAGAGTATAGCTCATGAATCAAAAGGTTTCAACTTCCATACAAATTTTTTATGACTGAAGAACAAAATACCAACATTAATATCCTAAAATTTTATGTTTCATTCGGTCTTCTTTTTTAATTAACTTTCTTTAACTAATTCTACTAACTTAACAAGCTAAGGCTCAAAGTCAAAATCTCTTCAAGAAATTCCATGTTTCCCTTGAAATCCACTTCTGTCAAATTGCTTCACACCAGCAACCTGCATTGTATGCAACAAAGCATTAATTAGGATGATGTTACTTACAAAACAATGTTGGAAATTTGGTGTGATAATCTTGGATATCTTCGAAGAATCGTGTTCGTACACTTTCCGAACAAAGTATTTCGACCCTATTATTTGCCTGGGTTCACAAAATCTTTGTGGGGATAATTCGTTGAAGAACAATCTGTTTTTGGCAATAGAAAACAGATCAAGAGTGTAGAGAGAATATGAATTTTATTCGGTCTGTAAAACTGAGGCCAAATGACTCCTTATATTGGAGATTGATTAACTGAAAACGAAAAGGGACATCTGTTCAAAATTTTTGAACGGGTTCATCTTTTCAAATTTAATTTCGAACGGGACCCCAGCCAGGGACTCTGCCCCTTGGAACCCGACGGGGCGCTGCCCCGCACCCCGCCAGGGGCTTCGCCCCTTGGAACCCCAGCGGGGCGCTGCCCCGCACCTCGCCAGGGGCTCCGCCCCTTGGAACCCCTTTCAATTATTCGCATTCAATTGTACGTTGGCTCGACGAGCGTGCATTCCGCACTATCCTAACTCGTTTCCAAGCTTAACGTATAATTGCATCGGCCTACAGTAAATCACATCACTACTAAAATACATTGATGATACTAAAATCACTAACAAACAACCTTAATTAATTCAATTATTTCCTATTTGACTATAACCCAATCAGAAAACTTCACCTTACATGTTTTGATGCTAATCATGAATAACCTTCATTGAGGACCACTCACAGGCCTTGCATTACCTTCCCTGGACTTTCTGAGGGCACAAAAGGATATAGAAAAACTTCAGAACAGGAAATATGTAATCTGGTATGATCACAATTATTAGATAAAAATATATAATTTCGAAGAGAATCGCCATTACCAGTTATCTGAGGTTTGAACTTTGAGCCACAAGGTTACAATAATCTAATGACAGTTTCCCATTCTTAACAGTAATTGGTGTGATATTAAAATACTTTAAATGTAATAATCAAGTAAAATAAGTAAACAATTAGTAAGGTTTTTGTTTGATGAGATAATAATGTTTTCGAACGAGGACTAACCTTGCCATCTTCAATTCTCTATGCAGTTTCTCGAGTTGGCTAATTCTCTCTTCAAGTTTTGCTATGCTTGCATCAGATAAATAGCTATAGCTTTCATCTTGAGTCTCGGATTCGCAGACTCTCTCACTTGACAACCTAGCTTCTTTGCTCTTATTTGCATCTTTATCCTCAACATCTTCCAGCAGCGGGTTACAATCTTCAACAGATGTCAAATGACTCAGAGTATCATGTTTTTGTGGTAGACTTGAAATAGCATCAGCAGTTTTTTCAGATTTCAAACCATCTTTAACAAAATTTCCGTCTTTAAATTTAACATCTACCAACGCAGTCATACAATCCTCTATAGTAGACATCGAGGGAGCCAAAGTGTTATTTTCTGGTGGTAGACTTGACGAAGCATCAACATTTTTCTCAGCTTTCAAACCATCTTCAGCAGAATTTTCAGATGACATAGTTGTCAAAACTTTAGGAACATCATCAATAAGTTTAGGAGGAGGAAACAAAGCAGCATGATGAGGTCTAAATTTCAATGACCTTGCACTTCTCTTACGCCGCACAACGTTCTTATAGAAACCCTGAGGACCCAATACTGATTTTTTCCACCACTTTGCATAACGCGTGGTAACATCGGCCTCAAAAAATCTAGATGGAAAATATAATCTTGTATCAGATGAGGGTCTGGTGTAATTATTCCAAGCAACCTCTTTAGTCTTATTGAATCTCGACACATAACCAGGAACATCTTGATCCATTCCAAATTGCATCGCAACTCTATGTGGTAGATATTGCTCTATACATTCAATTCCAACTAGCTCAGAAGCTCTCAAGCATAGAATAAATGAGAGCATTTGTTTATCCAAATCTTTCTTAAATGGAACCAAAATTTCATCATTTGGATAATACATTCCATACTTAGCAGCATATCTAACATATGGGCGCCAAAGAAAATCATCGATAGCTGAGTCCAATGCCAACCTCACACTGTCAATTTCCAAAGCCCGAACCATATGCCACCTCAACAATACATGATCTTCAATGTTGATCAAGTTAGGTTGTGGTTGCAAATTTTTGAACCTCTCCCACACCCAAACTTGAACCAAGTAAAATGGTGATTGAACATCAACCTCCAACACCAAAGGAAGTTCAACACCTCGTAATAAACATTTCTTAAAACCTACAATCGTTTCCTTAAACAAATTCAAATCATTATATAAGCTAGCCAAAACAGCAGGTGCTAAAGCAATACGATTCCCTCTAGCAAGATGAATAGCAATAGGAAACAAACAACTTTTGACCAGATTGTATTTGTGAGGAAAAACAAAAATCGACAACCAAGTAACAAGAAATGCTTCATGCTCAATTTCACTCCCTTTATTAATGAAAATATCAATCCACATTGACGTTGAAGGAGGCATACCTTTTACAATCCTCTCCTGTCTTTCAACATTGTCAAGCTTCTTTTTTACCTCTCTCATTTCTTGATCTTCAAGTGGTGTGAAAACAGGATCACCAAATAGAGAGTAACCACCCAAAACAATAACATCCTCCAAAGTGATGGTTGCTTCGCCAAAGGGAAACACAAATGTATTTGTCTGAGAACACCATTTCTCAGCAACCCCATAAACCAAGTCTTGATTTTTCATAATGCGGCTCTTAGTACTCATTATAGGTTCAAAGATTCCAGCTTTTTTCCAAACTGATTCATACTTTGGTTTAAGTTGATCAACCCACCTAACCCATTTTGTCTGTGGGTAGCGCCAGCCATTGAAATTGATTTTGGAAGGACATTCCTTTGATTCCAAAACAGAAGAAGAAGATGAATGATTAAGGCTCAACTCACGAATGGAGTTTGCAATAGGTTTGAGAAAATATGCAGTTCTGAAAGTTTGTTCACTATCACCGGCAGGTGAAAGCATATGATCTTCCCTCGCTTCCATGATGCTATTTTCCAAGGAATGTTTAGGATTCATAGCTAGTATTATAATAGAGAATTTTTCAAATGGGGTTGAAGATTGAAACTTAACGAACAAGGAGTCTCTAAAAAATGGTTGATAAGTATGGTACTGTGACTTTGAGGGTGGCCATATTGTATTGCAACAAACTTTGCATAATAGCATATATTCTTCCACTCACACAAAACAAGGCAAGAATGTGTACAAAAACCAAACTGTCCTTCGCTCAACCTAATCATTTTCTCAAACATGAGAAACGCATTTGCATGGAAATGGGCCCACAAGAAAATAAAAGGACGCTCCTTCGTTTAAATTGATAGAGGATTTATAAAAAATAATAGCCCTGTTTATCTTATCTCTAAGTATTAATTATTTTATATTATCAATGTAATATTAATGTGAGTAAAAAATGTAATATGAAATGGCATCAACAAGTGCTCTGGTAGTTAATGGAACCAACCATGATTTTTAATAGGGATGTTCACGAGTGCGGCAAGAAAAAGGTATATTCGAAATATCTAATAAAAGGTGTCTAGTAATAGGTGTCGACGGCGGTACAAATATATGTGGACAAAAGAGTTTTCATATAAGGGGGAGAATTGTCGACTCACACTTGAGGGGGAGTGTTGAAATAATATAGCAAGTGCGAGTAAGTATGGGTAATAGTCCCACATTAGATGGAATGTGGTGACTTGAGCATTTATAAGTAGGAGAACTCATACATCTATCACCTTAAGGTTTTCAGTGAATATGTGGTGTGTCTCTCACTTATAAATGCTCAAGTCACCATATTTCTATCCAATATGAGACTATTATTCATACTTACTCACACTTGCTATATTATTCCAACATAATTTTATTAGATATTATATGTTGAATTTTTTAAATGAGTATGATTGTATTGAGTTGTGTTACATTTTTTTAATTGACAAAAAGAATCATAAAAAATATTATTTGAAAAGCAGCCCACAAACCCAACCTAACTTAACCCATAAATGAACGACTTGGTTTAAATCTGTTTTGACAATGAAATTGTGGGCTGGACAAAGAACCTAACCCATTGAAGTTTGAACGGGTTGGATAACGAGTTAGGTTAATCCTGTTCCAACCCAACCCTAGTTTTTTTAATTGTGTTTGCGGTTGCGGGTGTTGCGATTGCAGACATTGTGGTTGTTGCGATGTGTATTGCAGTTGTTGCAACGTGAATTTTATTAAGAAATGTTTGAAAGACAATGTGAAAAATAATTAATATTAATGTTTTTCATTGTAAATTGAGCCTTGGGATTCTAAAACTTTGAGATTTGATGAAAATACTTGAAAAAATATAGATGAAATTATGCAGTGTGGTTTATAATGTGGCTAATAAACGTGTTATCTTAATTCACATTATAATTGCTACTCGATGCGGTTGCGGAGGCTACCACATCCGCAATATTGTTGCCACAATTGCAGTCCAATTGTAGTTGCTGAGAGCAATTTGAAACCATGGATCCAATAAAGATGAAAATGACTTGAATGATAGGAACACAAAGAAAATAAAAACCAATGATCAAGCAACAACGATAGAGAACCTCATCAATGATCACTCCATTGAAGGGGTAGAGAAGACAAATGAAGCTGAATAGAGAGAAAAAAATGTTAGGAAAGCGGTGCAGGTCGTGGATAAGATATACAAGGAGATGGTAATGGGAACAATGGGTCTAAAGATAGATGATCAAATTGAGTCAGGTGATGATGAAGGTTCTATAGAGGAATGAATAGAGGATCTCGAGGGGACGAAGGTGGAAGAATGCGTAGATGGTAAATATGCTTGTCCTGAATTTATTCTTTCAAAGCATGATGAAAGAAGATTTCACAAACCTTGGCACAAAGAGTTTATAGTCAAATTAATAGGAAGAAGAATCGAGTACAAAGAATTGGAGATAAGATTGAACCATATGTGGGTGAGAAAGGGAGTGATCAATATCATTGACCTAAGCAATGACAACTACGTACTTATTTTTACTCATGATGATGATCACAATGCAGCGCTTCAGAATAGACCATGGTTTATTTATGTTCACTACTTAACGGTGAAGGAAAGTGAAGGCTGAGGTTTGTTAGCTCTTCCTTATTTCTATGTACAAGAAAGTTAAAATGTGTCGCCCAGGCAAGATAACCATAAAAACAGAAATATAAATGACAAAATCATAAATGACCGAAATGTACAACTGAATAGTTACTCGATGTGTTCAATTTCTAATTAAATACTTACCATTATTTCTCCCCCTTTTGTCACATAAAAAAAAGAGAAGAAGAACAAAATTATAGTCATAAATGCATCACAAATCATCATTACAGGATTAGTTTCCATGAAATTGAAAGATGATCAAGTAACATGGGTTATTAAAGATTGTATAGTGCATGCCTTAAATTTTTAGTGGTTGTTATTGTTCCAAGAATCAAGCAGGATTAAATCAGGCGTTTGAGTTGCTCATAAGTCACTATAAAAGCAGTCTAAACCTAGTTCATTTTCATCAACATCCATCAGAATCATGGAAGCATCAGCTGAGAGTCATAAGACTTATGTGTTAATAGAAATCTCCCAGAGCTCTACGAGACAAGATGTCCAAGACGTTCAAAAACGAGTTGTTTCTGAAACATCCACCACTGGGCCCTTGCCCTTTACAAGACTCATTTCTGAAGAAGCTTTGTCAGCAGCTCCAACACAACCTACCAGAGTAGGTTCATAAGAAGTTGCGATGAGCCCAGAAGAAAGATAATGAAGAGATCAAAGAAGAGAAAATGGTCCAACAAGCCATTCTTTCGTCCAATCCTAGAGGCAGAAGATGAAGACATTGATGAAGATGAGCTAGACATAGGCTATGACAACTGTGTTCATCATAAGGATCAAGATGACTTAAATAGGGACCTATACCAAGCATTAGCAGTTCCTTATGAGTCAATGTTTTGTAATCCTTTGCTTTAATTAATGAAAAGTATCTTTCTGACCAAACATTATTTAGTGCATGCAAACACTTCCAATAACTTCCTTTAGATTTACTGAAATACATTAATGAACTAAAACTGACACTAGAAACGACATTTAAACAAGTCAAGTATAAAATTTATAGTCGTTAAAGAATCTTTAATAAGTTAGATTGTTAGATAAAATTACCAGATATATTACTTAAGATATTGATAAGAATTAATCAATATAAAAATAACAGACACTTGAAACAATGTATGTAAAACGTCTATATAAGAACTCTTGGCAATCTTACTTTCATAATCACTTAATCTTCAAAACACCAAGATGTACAAGAAGAAGAAAATATGGATTCCAAAGAGAGATTTCAGAAAGACATCCATACTAAATGCAGCAACTCAGACAAGTGAAAGAAAAGCAACAATTGAATGATCTACTAACAAGCAGATGACTTCAGAAGCTCTCACCACTTCAGCATCCTTTGTGAAGACACACAGAAGAAGAAGATCTTCTGGGTCCAGACGTAGAAATCAACTGAGAAAGAAGACTTTCAAATATACCAAGGAAGAATGGCCAGATTACTTAGATAATCTAGACATGTCATATGATCCTAATGAATAGCTTAGGGATAATCAATCAAACTAGAATGTCTAAATAATTTGTAATCCCATCCTTTTTATTAATGAAAAAGCTGCAAGCATTAAGTTCTTACTCTCGTTACTTTTGATTCTCTTGAACAACTATAAACAAATATAATCAACGGTTAACTGAACAACAATATAAACAAACTTTGAATTCTTAATAAGATAACTTAATACATAGGTTCTAACAATTACAAGGCATAACTATGCAGAAATCTAACATCAGAATCTTTCATAGATAGCTTCAAGTTTGTCTCTCTAGATTTTAGACAGATCATCCTCTGAACTTATGATAACTCCTTGCTAAACAAGTAATTTTGAAAGAACTCGTCCAAAAGGAATGAAGAAAATCTTTCCCTTGTGAAATGAAGAAACAGTCTTCTTCAAATAGTCAAACATAACTTGAGGAAGATCAATTTGCAGGTCTGAATTGAGAAGTAAAAGCATACCTTTTTCAATAGGGTCCACTAGGTCTAAATCCTTATCCTTAGGAAGTAAGTTTGAATTTAGAATCTGACTCCAAACAACAACATCAAGATGGAGATTTTAGACCACTGATGTATTAGATGGATCTACAAAGATACGCCAAGTAGGAAGATAGTGTTCCCAAACAAGAGTTCCTAGGATTTCTCCAATTTCCTCATAATTGATCATATTAGCAAACACTTTAGAGGTTACTTTTATAGAAACACCAATTACATTAGAAAGAATAACACACTCAAAATTTAGCTTTACAATGGAAGCATTAATCGAAAACTCTTTGATAAAATCTGGATAAGTAAAACCACAAAGCATCTCAAAGTTTCCATTATATCCTTGTTCATACACAGTCTTCTAGAAGTTAAAGTATAACTTAAGCAACTCATCAAAATCCACAAAATTTTCATTGATGACTACCAGTTGATTCAAAGAAGAATTAACTAGGAAATTCATCTCAAGTTTGGCTTGATCAACACACAACCATAGAGAAAATAAAAAGAAAGAGAGCTGAATAAGATTCCTAAAAGAATAAGAATCTTGTCAGAAGAAGGAAAAAATGATGTTTCACAAGACAGGGGATAGTGATAATAAGTATCTAAGAGAAAACATCATTACCCAAAGGTTCTTATCCAGCAGATTTCTTGAATCCACAAGATGAATTTCACCTTTATGAAAATTTAAGCATTATAAAAGTCTTTGAAAAACCTTTTACATAAATTGCTTTATAAGAAGTAAAAAATCCTCTTCTGGATCTCATTATCTAACAACTTTCAGAAGCTAGCATCCATCAGAGTCTAGTAGAACTAGATTGAGAAAGAAAGACATCTTCTGCCAGTCATAAGTCTCTAAGATTCTATTTAGAACAAACACTTCCTCTTGAAACAAGAGTCATGAGTGATAGATGAATATTAAATTGTTTTCTTTGATAG